GTGTGGGTGGGTGGTGTGGGGTGTGGGTGTGGATGTGGGTGTGGGTGTGGGTGTGGGTGTGGGTGTGAGTGTGGGTGTGGTGACTAGGTGTGGGTGGGTGTGGTGACTAGGTGTGGGTGGGTGTGCCTCTGGCTGTGAATACAAGACTTTGACCCACGCACACACACCCACACCCACACCCACATCCACACCAACCCACACCCACACCCACTCACACCCACACACCCACCCAGACCCAGACCCACACCCACATCCCACACCCACACTCACACCCACACCCTTCTCAATCAGCGAGCCAGTAAATTTACCTGTTTGCATCCATCGCAAACAAATTCAATGTCTGTATGTGCTTTTACTCTCTAGAAAAAGCAGGTCTGCAGAACTTTTTAAGGTTCTGCGTTTTGCCCGAGTTCCGAAACCCCTAAAAATGGTTCTGGACAAGCAGAAAAGGTGTTGCAGAGGGTGCCCGAACCATTTTTTTCCTGCGGAACTATTTTGGAGGGGTTCTGGACTCGTGTAAAACGCAGAACCTTAAAAAGTTCTGCAGACCTCCTTTTTTTTAGAGAATAGTATATGATGTTGTCTGTATTTTACATGATTACTTTGACTCTTTTTTGCTCCAATCTATTTATCATCTTCCCTAAGGTCAGAGACCAGCATCGAGCTATTAGAACAATCTGCATGGAAATTTCATGAGCCAAGGCATCAACATAGGATGTGTGCATATTAGTATTCTCGTCTCCCACACCTACACATCGAGACCTAAGCCGAGGCGGAGGGTGTCGGCGTGTGGACGTGGGTACAGTGTGGGCGTCGTGCGAGTGACACTGAGTAAATAATTTGCACCCTACCACTCCCACCCCACACCCATTCACACCCACACCCACACCCACACCCACACACCTACACCCACATCCACACCCACAAGATCACCAAACACTTTCTTAATTTCGTAAATGATCTGCTGATTTCATATTTTATTTCCCACCGTTTCTTACATTTCCATTACCATAGAAACAGAAAAAGACAGTAAAAGAAAATATTTTTTTTATGAAAAATTTTCTGTGTTCATATGTAAAAGTCAGACATTTTATAAGAATAGATTTTTATTTTTGTTACTGTTGTTATTATTAATTACCAAACAGTACATTTATTTAATTGACTATTACCTTGTCCAGGTTTACAATTAAATACTCGATCAAATTCTGGAAAATTCGACGGTGGACCACGTACTCTAGAAAATAAATAAACAGAAAAAAAATTTTTGTTTAATGAGAAATAGAAAGAGAAATAATAAAAACGTGCATAAAGTGATCGAAGCAGATATTAATAGACTACACCAAAACGGAACGTAATCATATAGTATTCAATTTTAATAGATTTTTCATTCCGGGATATTATTTAAACAATCACAAATTTGAGTTGGATGAAGAATCGTGTTATAATGTATTTATACGTTCTCTTATTGAGATTTAAGTATGGAAGGTATGTTATATCATTATTTGGAAAACACAAGTTGACAAATCAAACATGTATATCACTAGGAAAGTTCAAAAAGGAATAAAGCTAGGAATTAAAGTTTCTTGAATTTTTTAGATGCAAAGAGCAAACAAAATAGTATTAACTCATATACAATAGAATTTTAGCTTTACGATCTATGGAAAAAAAA